CGGGTGGGGTGTGGGTGGGGTGCTTGTTAACTGTGGATTCCTTCCCTCCCACAGCCAACATGTTCTGAAGAGCAGTCTAGACTGTCTCATTTGCTTTCTTCGTATTTACATTTCTTTTAAAATTAAAATTTATTTTAACTTAGCAAATTTATACCTATGTGTGATTTAAAAAAACATTGAAAATAAAAAGAAGTCATCCTGACCCACTTCCCACCGCGCCCCTGGGGCGCTCCTTCCAGCTCCTTTTAGCTTCTTGTTCAGCACTGGGCACCCTCCTCCCATTTAGACTTAATTGTTGGCTTTTAAATTTTTTTATATTATATATTGACTCTCCATGTGGGAGATGATTTAGCCCGAGATCATAGTTCTGCCATCCCACCCCCAGGCCTGTTTTGTCCCACAATGTGAACTATAAGACTACTTTTACAGCATTGTTCTGTGTTTGAGTTTCCATGGCTGTGTAAATAATATTTGTAGGTGAGCCATGTAGTCCATTCTGATTACATTTTCTTTGTTATTTATATTTTTCCTGAAGTTTGTGAATTCTATTCGTTTTTCCCCAAACTAACTGTTGATTATGTAGATTTTCTTTATTATGTGTGTTACATGACGTTGAGTCTGCTCTGACTCCTGGTGACCCTATGAGTGAGTGATGTCCACAGTGTCCTGTCCTCAGTAGCCCTGCTCAGCTCCTGGGGACTCAGTGCCTATGGCTTCTTTTATGGGGTCAATCTCTGGCTCATATTTGGTCTTCTTTGTTTATTATATTTTTTCATTAATTCATGATCTTTTTTCCCTTAATTTTCTTTGAGCTTATTTTTCTGACTTTTTAAGATGGATGCTGATCATTGATTTTTTTTTTTTTTTTTTTGCCCTGCCTTTCTTTTTTGATATAGTATTGATTTTAAGGCTATAAATTTCCCTCTGATTACTGCTTTAGCTGTATCATGGAAGTTTTGTTACATAGTGTCTTTATTCAGTTAAGCACATTTTCTAATTTTCATTATGACTTTTTAAATACAGAAAAAATTTATAAAGTTTAACTATGTATAATATACAAATACGGAAACATGCTTATCTTTTAGAAACAGCCCAAATACCAAAAATCTACTACTAACATTGTGCTTAATAAGGGAAATTTAGAAATATTTCTAATAAGGTCAGGATTAAGAAAGGAATGCTCACCATCATGACTACTCTTTTTTTTTAATTTTAAAAAATTGTGGTAAAAGATACATAATACAATTTACCGTTTTAATCATTTTTAAGTGTACAGCTCTGTGGCATTGAGTGCATTCACGTTTTGTGCAACCATATGATTTGTTTTACACTATAATTAGAGAATGCATTCTATATGATTTCAGTTTTGTAAATTCACTAAGATTTGCTTTATGGTCTTGGATATGTAAATTTCTGTTAAGTGTTTATGCATGAAAAGATGGTATATTCTGCAGTTGTTGGGTGAACTGTTTTATCTGTCTGTCCGTCTGTCTATCTACCTACCTACCTACATCCATTAGGTCAAATGTGTTAAATTCTGTTGTTCAAATACTTTAAAAAATCAGATTGTTGAATAAAAATTTCTGTGCGGATAGACACGTCCTCTATTTGCACCATCCAACAAGGCAGCCACTAGCCACACGGGATTACTGAGCACTTGAACGCTGACTGGTGCAACTGAGACACTGAATCTTTACTTTTATTTAATTTTAATTAATTTAAACATGTTTAACAGCCACATGTGGTTTGTAGCTTTTATATTGGACAGCACAGTCCTAAATGAAGACCGAATTTATATTTGTTTGAGTGGTCTATTGCTTACCGAGAAGGGGTGTTATCGTTTCCCCCATAACCGTGGTGGACACTGCTTTTGTCTGTCTGAAAATGTCTTTATTTTAAACTTCATTCTTTTGAATAGAATTTTGAAACATATGCACGTATCTTGTCCCAGGCACTATGTCGATAGTTTTATAAGTATTAATGTTGTAATGGTAAGTTCTGTCTCTTTTGTCTTCTGTCTTTTGTTTCCTGCTGTTGCAGGTATTTTTGAGCTTGTGTTTTCTCTTTAAGCACAGAGGGGTCAACACAGTTATCTCATGGTCTGTAAATGATAATTCCATGTCTCGAGTCTGTTGCTCCTGCTGGTCCTTCCTGTTGTCTCCTCCCCTTGTGTGCCTGGTCCTCTTGTAGGACACACACGATGGTGTTTGAGAAATTATTTGTAAGAACGCCCTGGCCAGTGTGGTTCAGTGGTTAGAGCGTCGGGCCACAGACCAAAGGGTCTCGGATTCGATTCCCCATCAGGGGCACATACCTGGGTTGCAGGTTCGATCCCTGGCCCTGGTTGGGGCATGTGCAGGAGGCAACCATCCGATGTGTCTCTCTCACATTGATATTTCTCTCTCTCTCCCCCCCTTCCTCCCTCATTTCCTCTCTCTCTAAAATTCAGTGGAAAAATATTCTCACAACAACAAAAATAAAAGCTCCTTGTAGGAATAATTTGAGGCCTATGGTCCCCAGAGGCTTTAGTTTCTTGCGTTTGGCGGACACTTGGTTTTTCATGGCACCCTGTAGTTATCCGCGGTGGGAGGGCGGCCCGGCGGCCCACCGTTACCGGAACGGGGGTCTCCATCCCGTTCGCTTGGCAGCCCGCTGGGCTCTGCCCCCCCTATGCC